GTTCACTCTAGTTCAGGCTGGTCTTGAACTCCTGAGCTCGGCAATCCAGCCTCCTACAGTGCTATAAGATTATAGGCGTGAGCTACCACACCCAGCCACTTGTTCCTTTCTTGTCTCTTCTTTTCAGCAGTTCTACTCCTGAGAGATTGGTCAGAAGACAAATTATGGCCAGGCTACCCAGAATGGGTACAGAATAACACAAGCTGTTGGCCCACATACTCCCTGTTCCATTCCATACACACCTGTTCCATTCAAGGCAGCCTGCTTAGGGAAGGACTTATAAAGGAAACCACACCCTGCCCCTCCAGGCCTCATTCTTTGTTATTTTTCAAACTGTCACATCCCAAGGGACCAACCAACTCCGTCTGCACAGTGTCCCTGAAGGCCTTCATGAAATGAGGGGGAGCTACATAATTGATGTTTTGTTGTCCCAAATCATCCTTGTTGGTTTGACCACTACTGATGATCTCCAGTAGAGTAAAAATAAATCTTGAGTAAAGACTGTCTTTTAATTTTTTTTATTATAATAAAATACATTTAACATGAAATTTATCATCTTAGCCATTTTAAGTGTACAATTCTATGGCATTAAGTACATTCACACTGTTGTGCAGCTATCACTACCAGAACTTTTAATATTGTAAAACTGAAACTCTATACACTAGCGATTAATTCCCCATTTACTCCAGTCCCTGGAGCCACAAGAATACCTTTGGTCTCCAAGATTTTGACTACTTTGGGTACCTCATGTAAGAAAAACCAAATAGTGTTTGTCCTTATATGACTGGCTCATTTCACTTAATGTCCTCATAGTTCATCCACACTGAAACTTGTATTGGAATTTCTTTTCTTTTTAAGGCCATAAATAATATTCCATTGTATGTGTATATCACATTTTGCTTATCCATTCATCTGCTGAGGATACCCGAGTTGCTGTCCCCATGATTTAGCTATTATAAATAATGCTGCTATGAAAAAGTACACAAATCACTTTTTAAGACCCTGATTTCACTTCTTTTTGTATATGTCCAAAGTAAAATTGATTGCTGGATCATATAGTAATTCTATGTTTAATTCTCTCTCTCTCTCTTTTTTTTTTTTTAGAGACAGAGTCTCACTTTGTTGCCCTCAGCAGAGTGCTGTGGCATCACAGCAACCTCCAACCTCCAGTTCTTGGGCTTAGGTGATTCTCTTGCCTCAGCCTCCCAAGTAGCTGGGACTACAGGTGCCTGCCACGACACCCAGCTATTTTTTTTGTTGTTGTTGCAGTTTGGCAGTTTGGCCGGGGCCAGGTTTGAACCTGCCACCCTTGGTATACGGGGCCAGCACCCTACTCACTGAGCCACAGGCGCTGCCCTATGTTTAATTCTTAAAGAATCAACGTATTATTTTCTTTTCTCTCTCTCTCTTTTTTTTTTGAGACAGAGTCTCACTATGTTGCCTTCGATAGAGTGCCGTAGCATCACAGCTCACAGCAACCTCAAACTCTTGGGCTTAGGCGATTCTCTTGCCTCAGCCTCCCAAATAGCTGGGACTATAGGTGCCTGCCACAATTGCCCGGCTATTTTTTGTTGCAGTTGTCATTGTTGTTTAGGTGGCCCAGGCCAGGTTCAAACCTGCCAGCCTTGGTGTATGTGACAGGTGCCAAGCTTTCTTTTCTTAAAATTTTAAATCATATGATCAAAGATTAGACCTTGCTAATCAAATCCTCACTTAAGGATAGCAGTGGTCATCGGCTTTATTTCTAATGACATCTTTAAATAACTAATTTTGTCCATGACTGATGGGGAAAGCTGCATAGACAAGCACTTCCTGCAAACCCATGACATACTAGGTTCCAATTTCATGGCAGAGACATAAAGGTAAATTCATTATCCTCAGGAAATTCAGGGAGTAGGGAAGAAGGCAAATACACCATTAAATAATCACAATTGGGTTAAGTACTACAGTGGAGTATTTCTCAAAGTATAGCTTATTTGGAAATATAAGAATGCTGAGGCCATGCCTCTTGTGAGGCTGAGACAGGAGGATTGCTTGAGTCCAGGAGTTCTGGGTTGCAGTGCGCTATGCCGATTGGGTGTCCACACTAAGTTCAGCATCAATATGATGACCTCTCAGGTTAGGGGGACCAAGTTGCCTAAGGAGGGGTGAACTGGCCCAGGTCGGAAACAGAGCAGGTCAAGAATGCTGAGGTCATGGAAATTTTAGCAGTTTCATAGGCCAATGTTAAGTCAAATCTATAGCTATACCAATTGTCTCCAGGGTTGAAGCCATAAAAGGCCCAATATCTTCAGGTCTCTCTTGCCTAGAAAACCACTTCCTTTTTGGGTTAGAAGAATACCTAATTTGTTTATCTCTCTTCGTTGTCACCAGAAAATCATGGAGTCTAAGAGGGGAAGAAACCATTTTTCTTCCTTTCACCTTGTCTCCTGAGCACAGTTTCCTCTCTTTTATATATTAAAAGGATTAGTGAAGATGATTATTTTTATCACCAAAGAATTACCAATCTTGGAAACAACATAAAACAGCTATTGACAGATGAGTGAATAAACAGTATGTTGTAGGGGTTGGTGCATGCCTGTAGCCCCAGCTACTTGGGAGCCTTAGGCAAGGGAATTGCTCTAGCTCTTGAACTTGGAGTTCAAGCTCAGCCTGGGCAACATAGTGAGACTCTGTCTAAAAAAAAAATAAAAAGTGTAAACAAAACTTATAAACAGGCTCGGCACCTGTGGCTCAAGTGGCTAAGGTGCCAGCCACATACACCTAAGGTGGCGGGTTCAAATCCAGCCCAGGCCCGCCAAACAACAACGACACCAACAAAAAAACAGCCGGGCGTTGTGGCGAGTGCCTGTGGTCCCAGCTACTTGGGAGGCTGAGACAGGAGACTCGCTTGAACCTAGGAGTTGGAGGTTGCTGTGAGCTGTGATGCCACAACACTCTACCCAGGGGGACAGCTTGAGGCTCTGTCTCAAAAAAAAACCCCAAAAACTTATAAACAAAATGTAGTAGATACAAAGAATGAATAAAACAGGTCAGGGATATCCAAAAACAAACCATCCCTGACATGCTCCCCCCCATTGGTATAATATTTTAAAAAGAATGAAATTCTGATACAAGCTATAATATGGATGAATCCTGAACATACATTAAATGAAATAAGCCAGTCACAACAAAAAGGACAAAATTATATGATTCTTCTTATTTGAAGTATCTAAAACAGGCACATTCATAGGGACAGAACGTAGAATGGTGGTTCCTGGGAGCTAAAGGAAGAAGAATAGACATAGTGTCTAATGGGTATGGAATTTCCCATAAGTTTGGTAAGACTAAAAAGTTCTGAAAACAGATGGAGGTGACAGCTATACAACAATGCGAATGTACTTAATTCTACAGAACTACAGACTTAAAAATGGCTAACATGGTAAATTTATGGTATGTATATTTTACCACAATAGAAAGAATTACCAATCAAAAACCCCCAAACAATAACACCCCCCCACACACAATTTCTTGGTCAAGTAAAATGACAGACCATCTATACATGTCATTGGTGCTTGATGCTGAGGCCACAAGAAGGATCTTTTGATGACCTCCAATATGTTCCTTTTAATCTTAATTTATTTATTAATAACTAGTAAAATTCTTGAAGTACTTTAAAAACACTTTAATCCACCTGTATTTAATCATATAACTCACCACTTTAGAAGGCAGTTTCTGGAAGAGCTCACTGATGAGATGTCCTGATGGATTGGTGGCCACGACAACGGCTTCCAGAAGCTGCTCCAGGATCTCCTTTAAGTAGCTTGGAGAAGACTGGCGGTGGGGGTGGGGATAAAGGACCAAAGGAAGAAAATACTTTGTGAGAGAAATCGACATAAACTTTGAATATTAAATATATTCTAGAAATGTAAATCTAATTCAAAAGAGCAACTTTTACAAGTTTCAAGACTATCACAGTAATGCTCTGATGCTGGATATAGGAACTGTATCCCTAGATGAGCCTACATGAAACCAACAAGGATCCTTTTATTATTTCTGTATCAAAATCCCTTGTACCTGGTCCTTTTATTAAACATTATTCCACAGTAAATGTTTTATTATTAATAGCAAATTTCAAGCACCATAGGCATGAGGGTCTGAGCAACTGAGCTGGAGAAAACATGTCCCATAACACTTGGCCATTTCTATGTCTGCTATTTACATCTACTAAAGTCTTGGTATTCTAGAATGATGATGAACACTTATGTAGAGTTGGGACAACATACTGTTAACTATGGGTGCTCTACCAGGCAGTGAATTCAAGTTATATCAATACTAAATTGATATTAAATAAATTAATGTGTACCATTTTTGCTCTTCAGATTGACTAGATGACTGGTTTAAACCTAGCTTAGTCACTGTTTTTTTTTTTTTTTTTTTGAGACAGAGCCTCAAGCTGTCCCCCTAGGTAGAGTGCTGTGGCATCTCAGCTCACAGCAACCTCCAACTCCTGGGCTCAAGCGAGTCTCCTGCCTCAGCCTCCCAAGTAGCTGGGACCACAGGCGCCCGCCACAATGCCTGTCTATTTTTGGGTTGCAGCCGTCATTGTTGTTTGGCGGGCTGGGCTGGATTCAAACCTGCCACCTTGGGTGTACGTGGCTGGTGCCTTAGCCACTTGAGCCACAGGCACCAAGCCTTAGTCACTGTTTCAACATGGAAAAGTACATGCTCCAAAGAGTACCTGCCCAGAAAGGGTCTGAATCTAAAGCAAGTTTCTAGAGGGAGCAAGATGTCTTAGTCAAGGTTCATATCAAGTGGTACTTCAAGACCAAACCATGTTTTATGCATATAAAATGAAGATTAATGAGCATTTCTTCTTTAAATCATAAAAGCACTGGTATTTTTGTCTTAATCCAACTGAAGCTCTTTTTATTTAAGTACAGTCTCAATCTTAAGGTGCAACATTAACATTAATTCCATAGATAGAATACTAACAACACCTCATGGGCCTACCACAATGCCTGGCAATAACAGACATACAATAAATAAAAATATTTAACACATAAGACATGTGAATAGGTCAGCGTACCCAACTACAGAAGCTTGGAGAACTGGCAGAGTTGTTAAAGCCTTTTCTCTCAGTGTTAACCCATAAGCTTAGGGGAAAAAAAAAAAAAGATCCTGGGCCAGGCAAGGTGGCTCATTCCTATAATCCCAGCACTTTAGGAGACTGAGGTGGGTGGATTGCCTGAGCTCGGGAGTTCAAGACCAGCTTAAGCAAAAGCAAGACCCTATCTCTAAAAAATAGCCAGACATTGTGTTAGTAGTCCCAGTTATTTGGGAGGCTGAGGCAAGAGAATCAGTTGAGCTCAGGAGTTTGAAATTGCTGTGAGCTATGACGCCACAGCACTCTACCAAGAGTGACAAAGTGAGACTCTGTCTCAAAAAAAAAAAAAAAAATGACACTGATGAAAGTAAACTAAAATTCCCAAGTTTAAGCTTATTTCCTAGCTAAAACATGGCACCACAGAGTTAGTTTCAAAAAGAGCAGAGACAGGTGGCTCAGATCTGTAATCCTAGCACTCTGGGAGGCCAAGGCTGGTAGATAGTTTGAGCTCATGGATTCAAGACCAGCCTGAGTAAAAAGTGAGACCCCCGTCTCTACTAAAAATAGAAAACCTGAGGCAAGAGTATCGCCTGAGCCCAAGAGTTGGAGGTTGCTGTAAGCTATGACACCGTGGCACTCTACCCAAGGTGTCAGCTTGAGACTCTGTCTCAAAAAACCAAAACAAAACAAAAAACCAGCAGAGATATGTTCTGCAGCCAAGAATCTTTTCCTTCCAACCCAACCAGTTACTTTGGAAATGTGCTGCAGGTGACAAAGGAAGTAGAGTATGTGAATACGTTCATTCAACCTATTCTCACAGTTGGGAAAACTCTAAGGAAATCATTACTGATTTAAGAACTAGAAGCTTGAAAATTCCTGTTCCTTTCATGAGAACCTTAAGGCTAGAAAGAAGGTTGGGAAGTATAAATACGAATGTACAAGAACATCTCAATTTCTTATTAATTATGCATTATAGTAAGAAATAGAGGTAAGTCCTAAATGCAGGCATTTTTATTCTTTGACTAGAAACCTGGAGGCCTATAGTATGCTGGGGCCACTGCAGGTAATTTTCTGCCCAAGAAAGCATAGGTTAAATTGCTTCTCCTGTATTCTTATCAGGGTAAAATTCCAGGGAATCTCTACTGTTAATCGCCTTCTACTTAATTCTGGTCACTTAATTTCCTAAAAAACAACCTGACAAAGTGCCTGGGAACTATATTTTAAGATGCTAAGAATTAAGAAATTCACCCACCACTGCTTATTTCTGTGTTCCAGCAAAAGGCCTATCTAGGTATTATTTTTCTTTTTTCTTTCAAGATACACTATGGCATTATCTAGGTATCTAGATTATTACTAACACACCAAGAAAGCAGAATGTTCTGCTTTGAGGTTTTTACATTCTGCTGCAAAATAAGAGTTTTGATTCCCCTCTACTACTATTTTTTTCTCTTTTCAAACATGTGTTATTCATTTGGCAAATATTTTTCAGTACCTAAAAGTATAGTATAGATGCAGGAATAAATGAACAAGATCTTTAGAGGAGTTACCATTTAACTTGTGGGAAGACAGAAAATAAACACATAAACTAATAGATAAGTTATTACACAGATCATTAAAAAAAATGAAGATCACAGAACAGAATGATATGAAGATGGGGTAGGGTGGATGGTGAAAAGAGGCACAAATTATTTTTATTTTGGAGGGGACAGAATCTCACTCTGTTCCCCAGGCTATCGATTGTCATAGTGTCAGTATAGCTCACAGCAATCTCAAACTCCTGGGTAAAAGTGATTCTCCTGCCTAAGTCTCCTGAGTAGTTGGGACTACAATCTCCCAGCACTACACCCAGATAATTTTTTTTATTTTTAGTAAAAATCGGGTCTTGTTCTTTCTCAGTCTGGTCTTAAACTCCAGAGCTCAAGGGATCTTCCTGCTCCAGCTTCCCAGAAAGCTAGGATTACAGGTATGAGACATCACAGCAGGTAGACTAAACAATTTAGACAGGGTGGTCAGGAAAGCCCTCTTTCAGTTGACACAATTTTGTTTATTTATTTTTTTGAGACAGAATCTCACTATGTCACCCTTGGGCAGGGCCATGGCATCACAGCTCACAGAAACCTCAAACTTGAGCTTAAGCAATTCTCTTGCCTCAGCCACCCAAGTAGCTGGGACTACAGGTGCCCACCACAATGCCCAGCTATTTTTTGGTTATAGTTGTCTTTGTTGTTTGGCAGGCCTGGCCTAGGTTTGAACCCACCAGCTCCGGTGTATGTGGTTGACACCCTAGCTGCTGAGCTACAGGCACCAAGTGGACACCATTTTAATCGATGTTAGAATAATGACAAAGAGCCAGTCATAGGAAAGGCCAAAGGAAGCATATTCTAAGCACAGGTAAGAGCAACTGCAAAATTCCAGAGGCAAGAACACAATTCAGATTTATGTTCCTGAAGTATAGTGGACATGAACTTTTGACTGCAACTCCAGAAAAAAAAGGTGGCATGTTCTAGGAACAGTAACCAGTCTATCCTACAAAAATATTCCTAAGGTAATTCCACTGACTCTTCAAATTTTAATCACAATACTGCCTACTCTTACATGATGTCTCACATCTAACAATATGGAACATGTCAATGATAACATCAAGGTTTTCTTTAAAACTGAAAAGGAAATATGCATTAATGTAACAACAATTCATAAGAACAACCTCACACTCCAAACATTGTCCAGGATGTCCTAGGTTCCCTTTAAACTGGCTTGGGGCTCTTTAGCTGAATGTCCATTTACCCTTCCAGTTACCAGTATGACTACACAAGAAGTCCAGCTGCCCACAACAGCTCAGAGGGATGACAGGCAGGAGCACTATCTACCTTCCATAGCCTATGGATGACCAATTCAGCTGCACACTTACTCCTTCAGTCATGGTGCCTTGATTGTCTTGCCCCTCTTCATCATCATCTTCATCATCTGCTTCCCCTTTCTGAATAAACTCATTTCTTGTTCGAAGGTACAAATCCCAGAGTTTGCAAGCAGCTTTATATTCAGGAGAATCTGGCTGTATATTAGCAAAGAGAAAAAAGTATCATTTTATAATTTTATTATAAATCACTTGCTAGTTTTAAACCATCCTATTCCAGGAGAGATCACTCTTTTAAGACTTAACTTTAAAAAATCTATTATAAATGTTTAAATCCTTCTGATTAGAAGATTTACAGGCCTAATTCCTCTTCTGAGAAACTAAGTCAATATTTTAAAGGCATTCTGAAGTCAAATTATGTTATTTATATCCTATTTCATTATAGAAAGACTTGAGGCAGAAGACAAACAATTTCCTAAATTAAAACTATTACTAACACACTAAGAAAGAAAAGAAAAATCTGATTTAAAAGATAGAACCTAATGACTGTACTGATATAACTTCTATTTTTAAACTACTTAATACTGTGAAGATTTATGTTCTTGAAGTATAATAAGTATGAACTCTTGAATAAAACGTTCTAGTAAAAACAATGTTGAATGCAATGTTTAAAAAATAAAAAAACTTTTTTTTTTTGAGACAGAGTCTCAAGTTGTCACCCTGAGTAGAGTGCCATGGCATCATAGCTCACAGCAACCTCAGACTCTTGGGCTTAAGCAATTCTCTTGCCTCAGCCTCCCAAGCAGCTGAGCCTAAAGGTGCCCGCCACAATACCCAGCTATTTTTTGTTTTGGTTCTAGTTGTCGTTGTTTGGCAGGCCTGGGCTGGATTTGAACCAGCGAGCTCTGGTGTATATGGTTGGTGCCCTAGCTGCTGAGCTACAGGTGCCAAGCCAAATAAAACAAAACTTTAACAATGCATCCATAAGCCTGGTGCAGTGGCTCATGCCTATAATCCTAAGACTCTGGGAGGTGGAGGCAGAAGGATCCCTTGAGCTCAGGACTGAGGTTCAAGACCAGCTTGAGCAAGACTGAGACCCCATGTCTACTAAAAAAAAAAAAAAGAAAGAAAGAAAAAACTAAACCAGATGTTGTGGTAGGTACCTGTAGTCCCAGCTACTCAGGAGGTGAACCCAGGAGTTTGAGGCTGCTGTGAGCTAAACTGAGGCCATGGCACTCTAAGTGACAGAGCAAGACTCTGTCTCAAAAAAAGAAAAAAAAAGGCATCCATGAGGTGGTGCCTGTGGCTCAAAGGAGTAGGGCGCTGGCCCCATATACCAGAGGTGGCGGGTTCAGACCCAGCCCAGGCCAAAAACTGCAAAAAAAAAAAATCCATTAAGTCTTTGGGCAGCACCTGTGGCTCAAAGGAATAAGGTGCTGGTCCCACATGCCAGAGGTGGTGGGTTCAAACCCAGCCCTGGCCAAAAACTAAAAAAAAAAAAAAAAGGCATCCATGAGCTGCTAATAAAATGTAACAACGTTCACAAAGGTAAGGAATAAAAGTGAGAACCCGGATGAAAAAGCACAATGTTGGCTGGGCACCCATAGCTACATGCTCCAGGGTTGGTAGGTTTGAACCCAGCCCGGCCTACTAAACAAAATAATAAAAAAGAAAAAGCAGAATGCTGCAGCCAATGTTCACCTTGAGGGTATTTACTTGTGATTAAACTAAGCTTTAGTTTCCAAGGCTTCCTGGCTACAAAGATGGGAGACAAAGGCCAAGATCTATCAGAAGTTGGGGCTTCAAAGGCCATGGCTTCATTATTGAGAACTCAAATAAATTTTTGCCCTGCCAGAGAGCAAGGAAGACTGCCCATCCTAGCTCCACCTACGGTATTGCAAAGAGCAGAGAGGTGCAAAATCAGTTTCCTCTGAGAACTCTTCATCATAAGTTAGCCTTAACCAAGACAGAACGGGCACCTGAGATAAGTAATAAATCTTCTCTGGATGAATTCAACTTTAATTTAATCCTCAAATAATCTCTAGAGATGAAAAGTCCTAAAAGCTTGGGCATGGTAGCTAATTCCTATAATCCTTGCACTTTTGGAGACCAAGGTGGGAAGAATGCTTGAAGCCAAGAGTTCAAGACCAATATAGTGAGACACTGTTTCTATAAACAAACAAACAAAAAAATTAGTCAGGCATCATGGCACATGCCTGATACTCCCAACTATTCTGAGGCTAAGAAAAAAGGATCACCTAAGCTCAGGAATTTGAGGCTGCAATGAGCTATGATCATGCCACAATACTGCAGCCTGGGCAACAGAACAAAACCCTGTCTGAAAAAAAGAAAAAAGTTCCATGGAACATAAACCCATGGTCAAAAATCAAACATATAACAGTCAAAGAATTATAAAAGAAAGGTAACAGAAACAACAGCAAAACCAGACACACAAACAGAATCATATTCATTAGATAGTATCAGAATAATAATCTGATAAAATAAATGTTAAAATTTTTTAAAAAAACAATGTTACAATACTCTAAAATATAAGAAAGTGTAAAAATCTCTATAAAGAAGCTACTTTCAATGTACAAAATACATATTAAAGGTCGAGGAGGGTGGACTGCTTAAGCTTAGAATTTGAGACCAACCTGAATAAGAGTGAGACCCCGTCTCTAAAAATAGCTGGGCATTGTGGTGGGTGCCTACATCCCAACTAGAGAGCTTCTATCTCGAAAAATGTATATATACATATATATACACACAGATATATACACATACATATACATATCTATCTATCTATCTATCTATCTATCTAAATAAATACAAAAACTGGGCTGGGCATGGTGGTTCATGCCTGTAATCCTAGGGATGCCATGGCCAGAGATCACTTGAGCTCAAGAGTTTAAAACCAGCCTCAGGGCTCGGCGCCTATGGCTCAACCGGCTGGGGCGCCAGCCACGTGCACCTAGGG